TAGAACAGTGCACCATTATTTTGAAATAAAGGCAACACTTGCATGATTGGCTTAGTGCTGCATACATGAGGTTAGCGTGCTGGGTAGCCTACTGGCGTTTACACTAGGGCAAGAGATTTGCGGACACTGTCATTTTGTCTAACATTCTGGTGTTGTTGTTGTTATGCAGTTAGTTATGAATGCAGTTAGCCAGTGAAGGATTTCAGCAGCGTTTAGTGAACAATTTTTAGTTACATAATTTACCTTCAGTTTATAAACTTATTCCAACTGGAAACAAATGCACTTAAATACACTGCACATATGATGCAAGTACAATTCATAAATTTAAGTATTAAAATTCCAATGGGTGAATGAGTTGCCGTTTGCCCCGTTTATCATTGGTTCGTCTACTGTGTTCCCTCGACAATAATTTCCTTCTTGAAACTGAATGAGGAGAGTCATTACTTCCTTCCTTTGACTTTGATGTTTTTTTCTGTCCTTGGCAGCACCATTGTTTCATAATCAACTGGGATCAGATATTTGTTCAGAACTGAATGTGAAACAATGCTGCTGAGATGCTGAGAAACTTTTGTTTTATTACTTGGTTAGAAGAAATCAATAGAATGAACTGGTGATGTTAAAAACCCTCTAAGAAAATTCCAACATTGACAGAAATGTCAATACACAAAGAGCATATACTTCCAGCATACAAACACAAATGTCCTTTATTTATCATGTTTCAGTAACACACATAACTTTTAGTGCGCAAACCATCCAGACTTTCTAAAATGAAAGTATTGTGAAGATATTCCAGACAATAGGACTAAGCAGCTTAAACTTGCTGAGAGACCTCCCGCACTGCTGGCTTATTTTGTCACATACCATCAAAAGGTTACATGGGATAAGAAGAAACTACAACAAAGACCTGCATTTCTTCCACCACATTTATGTTCACAATCATCACAAGTCTTTCCTCAACATACAGAAAGGATTAAAAGGCGAAACATATGACAGGCTTTTAACATCATAATCATTTGTCAAGAAATGACATGTGTGATATAACAGCAAAGACGCAATAAAATGTGTCATAGCTCCACAGCTAGACTTAAATAAATCAGAAAATGAACAAGTTGTGATTAAACCCTGTCATCAGTTCAAAGCAGTCTTGCTTTATTTATTATTGATCGTGCAACATCAAGTGGAAGGTCAACAAATCATATACAAGCTATATTTGACTCAATAAAAGCCAGGTGTCCGTTTTTAATTACCTTCTAGCTAGTGTCTGATATTTACACAGGCAAGATGATGCTTTTGGGTGGGTGGGTAAGAATGTATGGCTTAGGTGATCGGGATGGATGGGTGTTTCTGCCCTCTGGTACGCCACCCCGTTTGCTCCCAATGCTATGTCCACCTGCTGAGAAAGGGCAAACACGAGTCTCTCACGCCCACACGGGTTAGCTCTTTTCAGGTCGGTTCCTGTTCAGAGCTGCTCTAGGTGTGAACTCCAATTTCTCCTTCAGGCTAAGCACCTGGGTGCTGTCCATACCCACTTGTTCCTGCAGCTTCCTCTCCTCCCTCAGTTCCAGGATGCCCTTCTCCTCTCGAGGTTTAGGGGTCCCCCTGACAAACCACTCCAGGTGGTAGCCCACTGCTCCCACCACAAAGGCCACGGGGAAGGTGACATAAGGGGCATAGGTCCGCACCGCTGTCCAAACTAGAGGCCACATGACTGCACACCGCTTTGGCTCCTTGGTGCTTCATAAAGGGAAAAGTAAAGTGGCAACTTTAGCTTACCTTAAAGGATAGTCAGAGTGTTTAGTTTAAGGGAAAAGTGATAACTATTCACCCAAAAAAGAGGGTATTATAAATATTACCGTATGTCACTAGTTCTGATTTATTGATCTTAAATGAGGTTATCAAAATAAAAGACACGTAGACACCAGACATAAGGGCCTGTGTGGCCCTCTCCTCACATTTAGCTAACAACAACAAATATTGCTTACAAACTTAACGGCGCAATCAACGAGCAGGCCCAGGGCAAGAGTGTCCAAAAGTTAAAAAAACAAACAAACAAAAAAAGACATGTCACAAGATCCTGAAGTAACTAGCAATGTCTATGCAACCCAAGCCTTGCTAACTTGTATCAACGTTAATGTAACTAGCGCTCTTGACGCAGCGGCACTTCTAGGGAAACGTAACTTTACCATTGTCCTTAAACATTTAACTACAAGTTAACGTATACTTTTATGATAACTTGTTCGTGTTGTTTTTTGCCGACATGAAATGCCGCTCTCCTCGATTCAAAAAGGGCGTGTATTCATAACCGACGCTAGTATGGTTTAAAGTAAGTTACATAAGCAAGGACAATTACATGGTCACAGTTGTTATTGCGTTTGGCGAGGAACAGGACTCGAACAAACTTCAGACAGCATCTGAAAATATTAAATAATAATCGTTTCTTCAGGATGATTATACTGAATTATGTGGGTTAACTATTAGCGTTACTACGTAATGTAACTCAACGACACTGCTCGTAACAGGCTAGCTTGTGGTAACTTGGTAAATGTACGTAACCTTAACGTTACCGTCAGAGAAGTGTAACTCTAAATGTGAACCCGCACCCGCGACGTTTGCTGGAAAAGAAAAGTCAGTGTGGTGTTTATCTCCCTTATATTTTGATAATCATGTTAGTTTATTGAGTAGTCTTCACTCACCTTCACCGTTAGCAGCACGTTGGTGCAGCAGCAGCGGACCAACGCAATTTCCGTAACACTGTCTGTATGCTTCCTGGTTAAACGTCATTGGCTGATGAGCCTCGCTTTGCTGTAACCACAGACTGACTGAGGGTCTGACAGGTTTACCTCTGTTTTTGACATGGTGTTTTATCACCGCCTTGTGGTAAACATAGTACATTACTTTCAGATGAGGAATGCTGAACGTCTTTACATTTTGTTGTGGAGACACAAAGGGAATCGACGATATCTGCTACTACTACTGCTACTGATAGGTTAGTACCAATAAATTGTGTAATACTTTACAATAATTACGTTATAGACAATAATTAAAAATACATACATTCATTTACAGACCATCATTTAAATGTGAACTAACTGTAACAGTTAATGTAAAATGAAACCAGATTTTTACTTGTGTGTATCCTTTGACAACTGAAACAATAATAACATTACATATTTCCATATTTGTCTTCATAATCTGTAGAACTATTAAATATTTTATAGTCAAATAACCTAAAGAGCATGAGCTTTGTGACTAAACAGTCAAAGACAACCATGGCTGTTTGTCCCTTCCATGGCATACTGCATGTCTTTCTGTGTTCAAACATCCATGGCATTCTTGCACAAAATTCCTCCTCTCAAGGAATACTCAAGGACGGCTGACAGATCAGTCGCTAGTGTTGTGTCATACACTGACAAGATAGTTTTAGTTTTTCAAAGCACACTTTGCATACAGAGACAGAGGCACTTTCAGAGGCTTGGTATACTGTACAAAGACACAATCAGTTTTAGTTGCTTTGCTTTTGTTTACTTTAACTGCTTGCAGAGAAATTGTGTACATTTCAGTCACCCAGCGGTGGATTATAGGGGGAAGAAAATATTTCTCTGTGCTACTGTAGTTTCTGGGTACTGAATCGGTAAGTGTTCTTCGCAAACCTCTACATGATTGATGACACTGATATTTAAGCTCCAAGGCCCAAAAGTTTTCCATAAACTATACCAACTATACCAAACCTTCAAGCATGGTGCAGAGCACTAGGCTGATGTATAGCGATTGGAATGCAGCCTGTCACAGAGCGATGGCCAGTTCTGACTCATCGGTCATTTGTGCAGATGCAGAAAAAGTTTTTTCTTTTAATGGAGCTATATCCAAATTTCTATGTTATCATACTTCAAATGACTGCTGGAATGATTGTGATTAACAGGATTCTGTGTGGGTGATAACGTTTCATGCTTCAAAATGATTCTTTTAAGCAGTTCCTCCCTCTATGCTGTCCATCTTGTAGTTGCCAGAACTGGCATTTGATCAGTCCTGTCAGATAAAGTGAAATGTGCTCATCCCCTGCGGGAAAACAACATCACTAGTGCCAGTTCTGCTTTACCAGCGACCATAGCAGTGCCAGGATTATTTCATCAGCTCCTGTTTATTAGTAAATGAGATTTAGGGCTGCACTCTGCCAAGATTTGTATGTAAAAATACAACCATCTTATCAATCCAAATCACAAACTGGGGCTGACAGAGTGGAGCACCACATCCTCACTAACTGAAGCCGCATAATACATGCTCTATTTGCCCAAGCTAATTACAGATGTCAGGCATGGTCAGTGCTGGGAAATTTCCTCATTACATCAGACATGACAATCAGGATTTATGTTCAATCACTGCTGAATCACATAAGCCAGAAAAGGGCTGCTGCAACACCCTCCACGGGCTGAAACCTTCAAGCACAGTGCACTTTCCGCCACACTTAAGTGCCCAAACTCTGAAAGTGGTCCGGGCAATAAACCACACCCATGTTCAGGTGATGTGTCTAGCCAAGTGCAGCCTCAGATTAAGATGGAGGGAGTGGCATAAGGAGGAGACGGTGGGTGGGGTATGAACAAAAAAGATGCACAAGAGAAATTGACAGATTGCCTCTGGTTTTGAAAGAGACGAGAAGCAGGAGGACTCTTGACACAGACTGTGATTAAGCAGAGTGCCAGATGTGGAAGGGTTTTTGCTCTTTTGTGTGGCCAATCTACCCAACAAAGGGAGAAATGAGTAGCAGATTTTTGGGCAGTTTGAGGTCAAAGGTCACCAGCAGGTTTTGTATTTGATGTCATCTTGTCATATTACTACAAATATGACCCATTTTGCACATTTTTATTTCCATTCTACTGCTACAGATTAAACACTACATACAGTGTGTAGCTTCTTTTGATATATTAAAGCTTGTAAAAATGTATAGAGCTGCATTTTTTCATTATTGTGAAAGGCTATCAGTCAAGAATATGAACACATCAAAATGTGATACAAAAGCATTTATTTGGTTTTGGCATGTTTCCTGATTTAAGACCTCAGTGGAGTGTTATGTGTACTGGCCCCCAGTCACTGATGGTTCATTTCATTGAGGTGAAAAAGACAAACAAAATAGGACACACTTTTTAGTGCTTTGTTTCAAAAATTTAAATAAATTCATCCCCCCACCTTAAAACTTGAACAACATGGAAATACCCTCTGGAAATGCAGAATACTCCTGATATGCATACATTTAAAAGGCATGGGGGAAAAAAGGCATTTAAAAAATATTTCAATGGCACGGGAACATGTTAATGCTGTAGGTGGATTTGCAGTTCAGCATAATCTCTGTCATACAGTGAAAACATCTGGTGGATTTAGTTATTCTGTTATTCTGATACCTCCTCTAATCAAGTCTATACACTGATTCGGCCCTGCCGGGTCAACATTCAGCAAATTAAACGTGTAAACTAGCGCTCTGTACAGGCACTCATAATTTCATTCACATACAGGTACTAGTAAACAGGACTCTTGTCACCAAGGCATCTATGGTAGGATTATGAAGTTGTTTAGAGGGACCTACATATGTGGTGACCGATGTTACGAAGCCACAATCGAAGTGAAGCTATCCATTCTTCTATAACAGCTACTGAACTTTATTCAGGTGCATGGTGTTAGGCTTTATAAACATACAGCAACAAGCCATGGAATAATGTGTACTGGCTTATATACTGCCAATACCAACATACCAATAGCTGGGGGCACTTATGGGAAAGCATCGAAAATGACCTGAACATGGAATGATATTGTGAATCCACACAGTGCAGAGGGATTGTCAGTGGAATGAGGCTCACATGAGCCTGGTGATGGCACTGGAGAGGAAGTCCTCATAGCTGAGGCGTACGGTGCCCATCATGGCTGTGTCTCGCTCCCTGAAGGCCTGCGTTATGGTCTGGAGCTGGGTGCACACTTGGATGAAGCGGTCTAGCTGGATGCCAGGTTGTCCGCCTTGCAGGGCGAAGCGCCGCACCACTGACTCAGAAAACTGGGGACTCAGGTTGTAGCCCATCTGAGCGAGGGCTGAGGAACAGGAGATGGATAGTGACAGAGAAACAAGATAGGAATTAATCTTGGGTTTGAGTCTTAATAAAAAAAAACAAAAAACAGGTTTGAAATTGAAACCAGAAATTGTCCCGATCATGGTCATTTTTGTTTACAAAATTACCACATATGCCAAATTAAATGTAGCATCTTTAACACACACAAATGGGTTACCTTGCTGTAGCTCCATGCCACTGATACTGCCTGAGCGGTCTCTGTCAAATTGCTGAAAGAGCGCTCTCCATCGCTGCATGAAATCCCAAAGTGCTGAGAAGCCAAACAGGTCTATTTGACCCGACCGCGTCTTGTCAAACATGTCTAACGGGAAACACAAAACAGCATCATCAGCCAAACAAGAATGAGACAGTTTTCTTCAGTTATTGTTCCATGTTCAAAAATTTTTTTTTTGCCCCCCAGGCATGTTTTCAGCAAGCCCGTCACCCATTATCACGGATCTTCTTCTTGTGTTATCTTAAAGATAGCACACAGAAAGTCATAGTGGGGAACATTAGTCACTGCTTGGCAATTACAATAGAATGTAGGGATACACAACTGACAAGCTCCAAGACAAACATGACTCAGTCATTTTTAGGCTGACTCCTGGCTGTGTAAATTTCTTTCTCTTTTGGAAACTGAAGTTTGGGAGATTTAGGTATTAGTCACATATAAAACCAGCCTACTTTCTTTCTCACTACTTTATTCATTTGTTTTTCCTAAATAGCTCCCTCTTCCCCTTTGCTGTGGCCATTTAGGACTCTGAAAGTTGTTTACATCGTTTGTTCATTTGTCTGTCAGCAGTAATATGGAAAAAAAACTACTGGCCAGATTTTCATGAAACTTGGTAGAGGCAAGAACCCATGACATTGTGTCTATGGCAAAATGAACTGAATTTGTCATGCTACAAGGTCTGCTCCTGCACATTGTGTCATTATTTCCCCAAGAAACACTGTCAAAGCATTTATAAACAGTTCGTAAACACAGAGCTTCCTCTACTGGAACATTTCATTTGGCTGCAACCGTATTACGTACTGATCATCATGAGGCAGGTCTCGTCATTAAAAGCAGACCAGTTGGAGTTGACAAGTGCCTGCTTCAGCTCCTTTGCGTTGATGGAGCCACTGCGGTCTGTGTCAACAGTCTGGAACCACTGGTATGCCTCTGGGTTAACACCAGGAGGGATGTTACCTACAGAGAGGAAAAACAACAGAAGTAATAGGATGGTGAAGAAAGGAGGGCTGGTTCAGACTGACTTTGAAGATGCCCATCAATAGAAAGCTGTTTTCTTAGCATGCTCTTGTTTCCATCAATGTTTTCTTCTTCTTCTTCAATCCATCTGAGACAAAAATGTATTATTTTCATCATTTCCCATCCATATATTTTCTATCAGTTAATATTTCACTGAAGCTCCCAGGCTTTGAGGAGTAACAGATGTGTGTGTGTGTGAGTGTGTGTGTGTGTGTGTGTGTGCGGGGGGGTTGTAAAAGAGCAGAAGAAAAAGACTCTTGGAAATTACTCAGCTGCCTTCTTCTGATGCAAAATATTTATTTATTTATTGAGAGATGAAGAAACCCGCTTCTACTGTCTGACAGTTGAAACAGCGCTGACTGTCAAGCAGACATTTTCTGGCTTTGGTGTTAGAATGACTATGAGATGGAACATGCAGCACTTTATATTTTAATTGATATGCCAAATGTAAGTCCTACCACAATGTATATTTTACACGAGTTTAATAGTTAGTAGATACAGTACTGGCATGTTACTTGCTGGAGAAATGAGTGGATAAGAGAAAAACGTTACAACTGTGTGAGATTACACCAACAAACATCCTTCATCAAGTTTCAAATACTGGTTTGTGACAGTTGTAAATAACATCTAATTATTCCACTATCCAATTTATTTCATGAAAATACTGTATAATCTTCCAGTAAGGAAAAAACCCAGCTACGTTCAAGAATAATGAATCTCCCTACAGTTGTGAAACGATTTGTTATTGTGCTAAAGAGTACCTGTCCAGCCTTTGCTACACATGCTCAGTGTTTGATAAGGCACAGGTTGTGAAAAAAGGTAGCGGCAGGGTCAAGTCGTCTCAGCGAGAAGGAGAGGGAGACGGTATCGGGGCAAGAGGCCATTACCTGAATACATGGAGGAAGGGAAAGGGAGTGTTAGAAAATATGGTGTGAGACTTCTGTGTGGAGGGAGGGCTGATTCTCAGAAAAATGAATAGGGAGAGAGAAACAGGTTACAGGTGACGAACAGGTGTGTGTGTGTGTGTGTATATATATATATATATATATATATGTTTATGTGTGTGTGTGTGTATATATGTATGTACATGCATATAGGCACACACAACACACTCTTTACCCATCTGTCTATTAATTTGTTTAGCCCTCACTCAATATTACCGAAGTCATCACTCCAGCCGTGTAATCCTGCTGAGGGGCACAAACTGAACCCTGTCTCTACATGACTGTCTGGGAAACGTAAGTCATTTTCTATCCATCATCCCAGAGTGTGTGGGAGAGAGAAAAGGAGAGAGAATGAGAGCCTATCTGCAGTCTCCCCATGTTCAGATTATGGCAGTTCAACTCCCACAGGCAAGGGGAACAGCAGAAGCTTACACAGCTCCAGCCTATAGTTACCTGCAGGAGCATGGTGTCCATAAGGTCCTCCTTGATGCTGTCCCCCGTAACTCCCATAAGGCCCGCCCGGGGCACCCCCTGGTCCAGGCCCATACTGCCCTCCCTGACCTTGGGCTCCGTAAGCACCATAAGGACCTCCTGATTGACATGGTGCGCCTCCGTATGGAGCTGAAGGTTGACGCCCAGCGGGACCACTGCCTCCCCCATACGGAGCACCTGGTGGTGGTCCACCTCCTCCTGGATAGCCCTACAGTGATAGACAAGGTTCACTAAGACAATATGATAAATACAAGGATCAACTGGCCAGTGTGTGGCTAGATGGAGTTTTTATAGCCTCTATTGCAAGATTAAAAAAGCACGAGCATTAACAACTTAAAGTACTATATATAGACAACTTTTGGTAATATGTAGTACTCACTACCCATTAGGGAAAGGTAAATAAGTAGAATTACTCACAAAACTTACTGTTCAATTTTGAGGTACTTGAGTTGAGTATATTGATGTTCTACTACTTTGTCACTATATTTCAAAGGGAAATCTTCTTCCACGACTACATTTATCTTCAGATTTAAGATTTTACTTACAAAACATGTCTTTTAAATATGACCAACTGTAATATATGAAGCTACACAAGATACGAAGTAGCCATTCAACATTTTGATGGTGCTTCCGGATTACAATTCAACTGTTTAATGTAACGTTATATAAAAGCCGAATAACTGTCTCTTGAGAGGGCCGTCCTCAGTAAGTTACTTTCACCATTTTGCTTATATCCCTTCTGTACCTTAGTGTGTATGTAGGACCTGTGGTGAAACGTCTCTTCGGTGAGTAATTGTTAACGTTACATTTGTTCATAAAAAGTTGCTCAACTCGCACAGACTTTCACACGAATAAACAATGAAAAGCAAAACACAATGCTACAGCAGTTTGCTATCCATAGCAAACAGATGAATGGCTAACGTTACTTGTGTTTCCATGATCATTAACTGTAAGTTACGTTATAAGTTACCTACGCAAAAAACAGTACAGTTATTTAACAATACCAACATGTTACTGTAATTAACAAGGAGAAAACACAAAACGCAGTATTTCGATACCTGGCCGTAGTGAAAACTCATGTTTGACAGACTTCACTTCCTTCAACAAATACAGACGAGAAGGCGGATACGGCACGGTCAAGCTCAGGGTAGCTATTGGTGTATTTCCGGGTCTGTCAAAACCTCACCCGCGACCCCTGCTGCTGATTGGATGGCAGAGTGGGAAAGTGATGACGACATAAGAAGTGAGTATGAATCACTGTGCTCGTCACTCTTAGGAATAAACAACCTCAGTTAGTCACTTACTTTAATGCTGTAACAAATACAGGTTTTTCCAAGAATATGTCTAAGTTATAACTACATTATCATTTATTATGTCTTATATTTTCACAAGATTTATTTCAATTTCATTTAAATCTATCAATACTATACTATTCCAGTGCACAATGCACTGGTGTGATATGGGACCCATAGCATAACAATTGTTTTATTTCAATGTTTATTATTTTCCTTTTCCTTTCCTATACTGTATCCACACTTTCACTGACAAAGAAGAACATAGGAGGCACATACTGAAATATTTTAGCAGTGAAACAACTTTATAGATCACAACAATAGATAAAAAATGTAAAACAAAATATATCGTCTGGAATCATACTTTATTCAATTTGTTCATTCAAAAATATCTTGGATAATTTATTCACACATGTATCATACCATTATTAAACAATTGTGATCTAATAGTGTGAGAACACAAAATAGCAGCAGTAGTCAAAGTTATTCTTGAACAATATAAGACTATTTTCTTTATATTGCATACTATATCTGAACACAAACAAACAAACAAAAAAAACCTGAAGTGAGTGAGTTCTGCCAATTACTGTGTTACCCCTAAGGAAAGATCTGTATTCATTAGGGGGCGCTGTGAATGATCATGGAAAGGGTTCACTTTCTACACTGTATTCACATCACTTGAGGACTTTTACACTTGTGGTTTTGTTTACAACAGCTTAAACATACTGCTGGCCAATAATACATACACAAAAACACAAATACAGACACACACATAGACACACTCATCACAACGTGATTCCGAAGTATTCTCTTAAGAACTGACTGTATAAAATAATTGGAAGTAGCCACCCTTATGTCACCCTTTCGTTTGTGGACTACCATTTTGAAGTCTCGAGTTTGGAATTTTGTCTGTCGCCATCTTGGCTTTTTTTGGAAGCAGAAGTAACCATATTCAGATGAGAGGGTAGAGCTAGCTTGGTTAGTAAAATGCATCTGTAATTCATGCAAACTTTTATATCAATTGGGATCAGTGATTGAAGTGGAAAAAAATAGTGTCCAGTACTCACTATTCACATGCTGGCATGTGTATCAGCTGGTAAAAGTATAGGCCACTATATAGGCTAGCTTAATAATATTAATTCCAGTCCAAAACAGCTGTTTCATTTCTGTGGGTTGCTTTCATTCAATAAATCATTGTGCAAGAAATGTGCTCTACATGGTGGTTAGTCTCGTATTTAGTGACTAGTGAATCTTATACATTTCCAGAGTCAGGAAATGGGCAGGAAACATCACTGCAGATCCATCTCACCCCGGACACAATCTGTTCCAGCTTCTCCCCTCTGGTAGGCGCTACAGAGCACTGTACGCCAAAATCAACAGACTTAGGTACAGTTTCATCCCACAAGCCATCACTCTGATAAACAGCTGATTTCTAACTTACAGTGTCAGGAACAATTCTTGTGCAATAACCCAGTAACTCTGCCTCTAATCAGCCACCTGTTTACTGGCTAACACTTATTATTTATTCACCATTCTCTATTTCAGTGCTGTTTATACTGTTATATTGTCATATTGTAGATACTGTATACCAAATCCACCTACCTCAAGTCATTACTATGTACATGTGTACATGTATGCATGTATATGTACCTGTATATCACATCCACCTCTGACATGTACATACTCCTGCATCCTTTGCACTCTGTTCACTGCACTCATTTGTCAGTATGTTTATATTGTTTTAGTTCATAGTGTGTATATTTGTGTTGTCTACACTGAAGTCTGTGTCTGATTTTATTTTATTTTTTATTATTGTGATTTTGTATTTTTGTGTGAGTAAGCACATCGTGAGCAATGTAATTGCCTTGAATGTGCACCACAAAAAACAACCAACCAAAAGAATCCAACCTATTACAAAACTATAGGATTGATCAGTAAATGAAAGTTAATCCGCTACAATTAACTAAATTACTCACAGTTCAAATATGCTACGTACATATTCCCTTACTTTTTTTCAGATTGCACATCTTCTTGTTGAGTTGATGAATTTTCATAACTTGAATAACTATGTACACTCTGAACGCCAGTTTGGCTAGCTAATACATGGTATTGTGTGTTAGTTACCAATGTCACTGTCAGTAATAATGATGTCAAGTGTCATCTACCAGCCCAAGTCTTTTTCCGCCCCACACTGGAAGTGTGCCTCTCTCCTGAATGACTCGTCGTCATGGTAGCCACGCCCCCTAAATTATTCCCTTCTTTATCGTCTATTTTACCTTACTAAATGGAAACATAATTTACAAAATTAACATCGTGCTGCATTGAAGAATACTTGAAATTAGTGACTGAGACCGTAAAAACACATTAGGAAAAAAGTAGTAGAGTCATTTTGTCATTGAGTCCTGTGAATGGGTTTGCTTGCAGTAGTCCCATGTGTACTTTGCTCAGCCTTGACGTTGCTGAGGTTTTGGATAGAGTCGAAAAAGAATGATCATCTGATGGGTGTTTTGGAGTACCTGGGTTCGGCCAGCGGTGCCATCTCATCACTCTCTGCGAGCATCTGCCTATGCACCTCACTCTTAATGTGTTTCCGGATGCGTTTGCAGATGAGGTAAACCATCTCACAGACACACATTAAGATACAGAAGGCAGAGGAGACCACCATGAAGAGGGTGAAGATCTTCTTCTCAGTGGGACGTGATATGAAGCAGTCCACGATGTTGGGACACGGGTCCAGGGAGCACTTGGACAGGCGAGGCATGTCGTAACCATCATAGATGTGGTACAGGATGTAAAGGAAGCCAGTGTCAATGCCTGCCTTTAAAACCAGGCTCAGCTATGAGAAGATAAATGAGGGTTAAACTAGGAGACACATTTTTCAGGAAGCTTAGAGTACATTTTTCAGTCACTATTGTTCTGAGTTTGATAATAACTGGAGGAATGATGCATGGAAGTTAGACAAGTGACCTAATGCAGGATCTATAATAAAAATATTTCACATTTTCAACCACTGCCAGCACATAACTCATTCAGCTTCAGTACAGAGTATGTGTATCTGAATGGGCTAAGACAAGCAACAGAAACATTTTTTTCTCATGACCAGGTGAAAACAAATCATATAGAATTACACAAACGTGTTGTCTAACCTTTTGTACATAACCACTCATCTATGGCAATTATTATTGACATTTCTGACAATAATAAACAAGGCATTGCTGTGTCTTTTACCTGTGGCATCTACAGCAAGGCCAGAAATAAAGTTTCATAATATGTGCTTACCAAGTAAGTCCACCACAGCCCCCCACGTTTCTTCCCAGGGTTGGCATACAGCTTGGCACCCTTGTGGAAGGCAGTGTACTCCCTGTTCTTCTTCATGCGATACTTGACGTGCCCCACCACCATCAGCGACGGACAGGTGATGAAGATGAGCTGCAGGGCCCACAGGCGGATGTGGGAGATGGGGAAGATGTGGTCGTAGCACACGTTGTTGCAGCCAGGCTGCGCCGTGTTACACACAAGGTTATCTTCGCCCCACACTCGCTGGGCCGCCACCACGAACACCATCATCCGGAAGATGAAGACCATGGCGAGCCAGATGCGGCCAAACCCGGTGGAGTACTGGTTGACCCCACTGAGGAGTGTCTGCAATTCAGACCAGTTCATAACTGCTGCCTTAGAGGTGGAGGAGGGTGGGAAGAGGAGGCTGAAAGAGATGAAAGAGCTCCTCAGGAGGTTCTGGTTGATTTGACCCTGAGCAATGGAAGAAGTAGATTAGAAACATTTGAGTAATTTAAGCAAGGATTGCAGCAAGGTTTTAATAATGGACTCTCTTAAATTTGTGGACTCAAGAGAGACAGATTGAAAAAGAATGATCAGTGTTGTTGCAGCACCAGAGCTGTCCTGACTTTTAGTCCCTAAAATTCGGTAAAGACCCAAAAATCCAGGATCCAACATTTATATTCATGTAGTGTTTTCCCTGCCTGGAAAACACCACATCTTTTAAACTCCACACTGCCAATTTGATAGATCTTTAGTTGTTAAATTCAACAAAGCTTCTTTCTTTTCAAAGACTGAATAGTAGTGTATAGCACAAAAACTGAATAAAAATTAACAAAACTTCCCATGCGCAGACAATATTTGTGATCAGGTATTGGTCAGCCGCATGAACATCTTAGGTGAGGATTGAAGATGTAATTGTTTTACTGTGATTTTATTAGGAGCAAACAACAACATTGTGATGAGCGAGCCTGAAGAAGCTACAGGTGAAACGCGTAGTTCGCTCCTAGTAAAGTTACAGTGAAGTCATTTCAGTGTGCAGTGGTTCATTTCGATCTTCACATGAACTGAACTGGATGTATGAAATAAGTAGAGTCCCCCTTTAATGATTTACACCTTTTCAGTAACCTCATTAAATATGTTATTACTAACACATCCTAGTATTCTACACTATTCTAAGAGCAACTTTTTACAACTTTGCTACTGTGTCATTCCCTGACTCTAAGCCGGTGCATAAACACTCACAACCAAAAGGCAATTTTGAAATGGTGATCAGCTCTGAGGAAACAAAACAACCAGACATTATTTTCACAAACATATTCACTGTCGTAGCTGACCCGTATTTAAACGGAGCTACCTTTTCAAAACTGAATCATTACACATCAATGAGTGAGTCCTCATCAGAGCTTCCCTATGCTGAAAAGACAGACAAATACTCTCCACTCTATTAGTCGGCTATTTGAACAGTGTGGCTGATGATCAGGCAGCCGCCATCATCTCTGTAATCCTGAACGCCTATTGCAGTCTTGGTTCCTCAAAGGACTGTTAAGGGATAGCATTTCATTTCTGACCGTACCATGGGACCCATGCTGTGAGAGAGAAAGGGAATTGTAGTTGAAATATTACCATGTGGATTTAATGTATACAGACTTTAAACATGGAGCCTGCATAGTTAGGTGGCTCTGTGTTCTTTTATGTGTAGGTGAACTTTGAGATTTCTTTGGCTGCATGTGTATTATCTTGCCGTTTCTCTGTCAACTGCAGCGCGGTCGCTTAGTACTGGATGATTTAAAAAAACATTGACACAGTAACATGGGGTAATAGGGTCCAGGTTGAAAAACACCAAAGTTTACCCTTTAAGATTTCTAAGGGGGATCTTTTCAACACAAGCAAAAAAAAAAATGCTTCTGTTATAAATTTACATCTCATTGTGATGAATGCTCACGGCCTGACAGGGAACAAGTTGGATAACAGCCTTGTTGTTCACTGTTCCATTTCAATTCTGTCTCATCTAATCCAGAGTATTTGAATTCAGAAACACTTTCCTTCAGCATTTCGGCATCACCGTCGACATATTGAGCTGTCAAATGAGTTGCTATTTTCTCTCTCATCCAGCCGTCCTGACTATTAAATTACACAGCATAAAAAGACTCGACTCAGTGAATGCCTTCAGAATCACAACATAGGATACTGTAAGACAGACACTTCGATCACAGCTGATGTTACCTACACTTCCTCTCCTTCTAAGTGGATAATACAACCAGTGGTATTAATCTTAAAATGTGTCTCAGCCTGTGCCTTTGGGACTGTGATGTTCCTCAGCTTTAGGCAGAGAACAGGCTGTGTCCTTGTTTTGAATCTTCATGCGATTTATCAGTGCTCATTGTACCTTATTGCACTGTGATTTCTCTCCCAATTTTATACAAAATGCACACATACACAGACTTTGAGGTGACATTCAGCCCAGAACAGGGGGGGGGGGGGGGGGGGGGCTCAGAGACAACAGCACGTCTTACATCTCAGGGAGATGGCAAAGCTCAACCACAATTTGTTTTCTTATTTGCTTTAGATTGCAATGTTGCCTTGCCTGCCAACAGCAGCTGGTCTCCTCTATCTTTTTGCCTTGTGTTTGTCTCTCTTTGTAGAGACAGGGGAGACATATCATGCTTTCTCAGATGAGAAGTTTGATTCCAATAGTCATACTCAGCGACACAAATGCAGCACTAGTGCATGCTCCTGGCTTGATAAAAACTTACACAGAGTTTTCAAGCTTTTTGATTCTCATGAGGGAAATCAAAGACCATAAACATTATCAGCATCACACAACAGGTGTAGTTAATTAATATAAATAATTCTTAGTTAGAAAGAAAAACCTTTGCATTAAGTGCAAATCTCTATTATGGCTACGGCTTTATCCAGCTCATTGTGTTCAAAATCACCTCATCTGAAACATTAACGGATCATTGACTGTTAATTGCTCTACAGGTTTAACTAGTTGCAAATACTTTTCTATCCATCAAGACTACATTGTCTGTATGAGTCAGTGCTCCCGGCTAACAAGGTAGAGTTAAAGTTATCTTGTGTGGCTTTTTTCTCTTTTTCATCCTGGCTCTGCTTTTCTTTCTTTTTCTGTCTTTTGCACACATCTTGCCTTTTGACGTTCAGCCTGACTTTGCTCCATTTTTCAAAGTAACACGTCTCAGCCGCAGGAGTGAAGCACAAGCAATGTGAGTATGGTTTTATTCAAACTGCTTCCAGTTATCTGTCTTTTCAAATCTCATTCTTTGGTACGCACTAGGGCTGAGCTCTTTTCTTGACATACAAGATCTTACCTCATTGTAGGATTGAAAAGGAACAGAATGAAACAATATTCCAGCCCTGCTAGTGTCCCTTTTTCTTCCACTCCACACATCTTTTGTCCTCTTAAATCCTTTCTAGTATTTATCTGAAATTAACTACATTACATCTGTTTGGTCTAACACTTCTTTTACAGGTCGACAAAGCATCTCACCTTAGACACAAATACGCAGTGTAAAAGAGGTCTGTCCTGACTTGCAAGTGAGTGTGTCCCAGCTGGCCTTCTGTGGCGATTCTTAGTGACTTGGTCCTACCTGGATATTTTGAGGGGGTTGGCCTTGAGATGTGGACCTGTTGTTCAGGTGTGGGAGGATGGGTGGAACATCACATAAAGAGATTCCAGTCTGGATTTGCTTTGCATGAGCAGACCTGCCTCTGGGTATTTTGAGGACAGACAGAGAAGCGACAGAGAGACAACCTCAGAGTAAAGAAAAACAGTATAACAGATAGATGGATGTGCGAATGGAAAATTATGCGATAAAGATAGACCAAAAGAAAATGTAAGCAACAGGCAGGTGGATAACCAGACAGGTCTGCATAGTGTTGTATATGATATGACACTGATGCAAATCAGAGTATTATAATGCATATTTTAATCCGTGAGACGATTTGAGCACTTGGATCTGCGCTGGTTTTAGGCATTTAAACTTTACATCCAAATTAGTGTCCACTTCATCAACTTGCATTGACTGCCCTGTAACTGTGCACTGTGATGGCTATGCAAACAGAGAAATATGGACTTCTTAGCCTTAAGAAGATAGGTATTTCTTCATGGCTACCCAGTACATTCCACAGGAGGGAAGGCTTTCTCTGAATAGTTCCAGAGCTGCTGCAGTGGAGCTTTTTAAAAATTGTTTGTTGGCTTGTTTGTACATGAATTAAAAGTACATCAAGTAGATCAGTGTACTTTATGTGGAATAACAAGATTGGCAGGATAATTACCAAGTTCAGTTAGGCTGTCCCAAAGTCTTACTTGTAACTTTCTCATTCAGGTCTGTTTCTACATTATACCAGGCAGTCATTTACAAAATAAGATGGTACTTTGCTCAAAATAGCACAGTTTGCACAAGTCTGGGTTCTGCAGTAAATATTATGTTGCATTGAGAGCAGGCAGACAGGAGAAAGAGCAGACAGCGAGAAAAAATGTATGCATTTCTACAAAGAAAATGTTATGCCCTCTATTGGCCTCTAGAGAATGCTGATGCTCCATCGTTTTATTACAGTTTGTTTTTCTCTCCCATTAAAACTAAGCAGCCACATCATCTGATAAAGAAAGAGGCAGCATCCAAGAAAAGCTAAAGAGTTGATTGTCAATACTGACTACGATCTAAAAATAAGCTAGAAGATTTAATAGCCTTTAGGTAAAACTGAATAAATGATAGTTACATATCACAGCTATAGCTCTATGATCTATGATATATCTCTATGATTAGTAGTAGTTCTTCTTCACTTAGCCACCCAGCTGAAGAGTATACATGCTACATGTTCAGCTAATCAGGGTGAGCCTATTTACCTCATGTGACTCTGCTCTAAATGAGGTGGGAGCAATGTCCTCATCCATTGTCCTATTAAGTATCTTGGAATGAACATTACATGTGCACAAGTTTTTACAGGTGAACCTGTGAGTGCTGGCTGATTCATTGTTGGTCACAACAACAGTGCCACAGCAACTTAACACAGCTTGTTTTGTTGTTTTTTTGTTTGGTTGACTCTGAACCTGTGTTTGATCGGTCCCCTTCCCCCTAACCCGGTTCCTATGCTTTCACTACTTTTTTTTTTTGCAACATGTGGTATGTGTAAATTTTTCATCATCACTGTGCAGGTGGTTACCACTGTTGCCAAGAAATAATGTTGGTTGCCTGTTCTGACACCGGTAAAATGGACTGAGATTGCTTTGTGTGAAGGGATGGTAGAGCCAAAGCTCCAAAGTTAAAGACAAACACATCTCTTTTACTACCCTCCTAGGAAAAAACTATTATGTTATGTTGTATTCTCTCCCAATACATTTCAGATGTCTCTCCCTATACATTTCAGGTTTTATGTCATTTATTTGTTTAAATGATTTTGTTGCCAACAGAGCAAAGATTCCACTAATGTTACAAGCACAAATGGCCACCTTATTCAGGTGATTCTAGGTACTACACCAGGTACTATACTGGTCTGCACTGGGTTTGGAAAAACATATAGATTTACTTTTACTCATTGGCAGATGCTTTTAATCCAAAGTGACATACATTTGAGGAACAACACACAAGCATCAATGAAGCATCAATACAGTAAGAGATCTACAAGTGACAATAGATACTAATCAGAGAAGCAATAAATACTACTAAAAACTATAAGACTGTACAGCATCAATGGGGTAAATACCTAGGGAAAGAATTTATAGTTAACGAATAGTCAATCAACACATGTAATGTAAAGAGACAGAAGAAGAAAAGCACAGGAAGTGCATGTTGGAAGTTAGGGGCTAGAGGTGTTATTAAGAGAAAGTGTTGTTGGAAGAGATGAGTTTTCAAGAGCTTCTTGAAGTTAGAGAGGGACGCCGCTGCTCTAATGTCGTGTGGTAGCTCGTTCCACCATCGTGGCACAGAGGAGAACAGCTGGGACTGACATTGATTTGTGTGTAGGGATGGCAGAGCCAGACAGCGTTCGTTGGAGGAGCAAGTGGCCGAGAGGGAATGTAAGCTTGTATTATGGAGTTTAGGTAGATGGACTCAGTAGTCACTCTGGATGCAAGCATAAGTGACTTGATTTTGATTCAGGAGGCCATGGGTAGCCAGTGAAGGTCGCTGAGTAGTGGTGTGACATGAGTCCTTTTGGGTTGATGAAAACCAACCGCATACCAAATGTTTAGACAAACTGCTCATGGATTTGGAATAACAGTTGTGAAAGCTTCCCAAGACTCCTGCATCACAAAGACTAAACTTGCACAACAACTCCAATAAATACTAGATGGTCAAAGCAGTGCAAACATTTTTAGAGTAATTCCAAATAGCAAGCACTAATGGGGTCCATGCCTGACAATACACTGACTTACCACGACAAAGCCAGTGGGCTCACTTAAGCTCAGACTTACCAGAAACCCCATCAATTTTACGTGCCTCTTCTTAGTCAAAACTTCCACATAACTCATACCAATATACAGTGTGAGAGAAACACAAGCAATGTGAACTCTCCTTGCTTTTCTTAGTATGAGAAAAAAAAAATCTAGCTGATTCATTCTTGATCTGAATGAACTCTTAACAAAATCAGCTAAAACACTGTAAACCCTTAAAGCAACCTTCTTGGAGTCATTACATATTTTCAAATGCACTGGTCTGAGCACAGATGCGCAAAGATCACTTTACTTAAATAAATTGAAAAAGAATAAAACATTTTTGAGGCAAAGTACAGATTTTGCCTGGCAGTGGTATGATTCAGCTGCTTTTATTACAGATATCTGGGATAGACTAAAAGGTAACACAAGTCACTCACCCTTGTGAGTGTACAGGGCAGACCCAGTGGCAACAATTTAAGAGAGGCCTGCCTAAAAAGGTAAGTTCACAAGTGTTCTTAGAGCCTGAAAAATGGAAACTGGATGTTTTCTTCTGAAACTCTTGCAGAAACATTTTAGGTGAGGGTGGCAAAAAAGAAAACTTTCCCCAAACCCCTCATGAAAGTGCAGACGTTGTAGAGACGTGAGAACTGAACCAAATGAGCAAATCACTGGATCAACACCTCTTTCCCCACACTGCTTGTGGAAAACACCATTTAGCTGTGTATCTTGAAATGGTGGATTACACCTTTGTACCCGGGATAATCTGCACAATGTCTGCTGGCAATACTAGATGCATAGAGAAGTCTCAAAAGATTAAATAGTCTCAGACTGATTGGCTGAGCATGCACATGCATATTCTTATGTTGAAGCTCCTAAATGAGTGGCAAAGACCCGTTAGAAATGTGTGAAATAAAACTGGGGGACACATTTATTATCTGCACAGGGAATCAAATAAAATGCTAGAAATATTAATTATATAGAAATGTAAGACTGCAAGTTTCTGTGTCTTACAGCAAACTACGAAGATGGAGGAGAAGGTCAAAAAAGGAATTCATGGAAAATATGGTACTATTATTTGCGATAAACTATAAACAATCATCAATAGAGGCCGATAGTTCTCTCTATCACTATTAATGTGATACTAATGTTTAAAAATGCTACACACGGCTTTTCACTTGTCAGGTCTTACTTCATATATACAAACATGGATGTTGTATCCATCCAAGCTGACACAGTCATCCTGTCTAGACCTATGTCTTGTCTCTCTGATCATCCTCTACAAACCACCCTCCCACTAGGCCCACCACCACCACCACCCATCCCTTTCCCAGAGACCTGTCCCATTACTGTCACCGTCATTGCTACAGCTTGGGTCATTCCCCAGTGTGTCAGAGCTGGTGACACCAAGCCAGACCCCCCTCGCTGTGTGTTGTGACAGCACCATGCTTCCACCGCCACTGTGGATGATGTCAGGATGCCCCCTCGAGGAGGTCACCAACCTCTATCTCTCTCACTCTGTCTTTCTCCGTCCGTTACACTGACGCCACGGGATGCAGGTATGCGGAAAGAAAAGTCTGTCAAAATGTGAGGAGATGAACACTACAGGATTTTTTGGAAAAACACAAAACAGTTTGTGAGCTGATTTATGCTGTGAGCCACTGATTAAAGCCAATCAAATATCCCTCAGTTGTACTTAACTTTTTCCAGATGAAATTCACAAATGTTGATGCTTTAGTCCATATGTACCTGCCTTATCACTGGGATAATATAATAAAATAATGATTTAATGGAAAATCAAATGTGGTTTTCACTAAGATGAACATGTTATTGACGACAGCACTTGGTAAAACCCTCTTAATGTCTGAGACATTTGAGCCACACACTGACCTGTGAGTAACCCCATTTGTAAAAACATTAACATTAAAGCATAATTTCAATCCCTGTCTTTTCTATGTAGAAGGCATCCAAACTACATTTTATTTATCATGCTGTACTAACATATACTATTAGAGAAAACTAGCTCTACCCTGCAATGCTGACAATGGTGGTAATCATTGGGGATGCTGGCTTTTGGCATTTGGCCCTTTAGCATTATATCCTGTATATGTAGCGCGCCTGTGCAAATTAAAGACCCCTTTTTATAAAACAAATTGGTTAGAATCATTACCTGAAGGAGTTTTCAAAAACTCACAGTTTTAGCACTGACATTAGTTTACTCTACCCAGGTACAGCTGATAAAATCAAACAGTAACAGAGGTCATTTCAGATGACAAAATCCAAAACTATTGGCCAGAAATGAGAATTATTGCAAACTTGCTTTTCTTTACTTCTGTGTGAAATCTAAGACACAGTGTTTAAAAATGATTAAACACTTGGAGTGGTAAATCTGCCACAGTCAACATTGTAAACGGTTGTTATCTATCATTACAAAACTATCTTTTGCAGACGCAGTACCAACACTTAAATGTGATAGATTTAGAGAAAAGTTCTGTGGTGCTATAGGAGCACATGCCATTTATTGTCTTTTCTGCCACTATTGAGTAGGTCAGGATTTGCTATTCCAGAGAGCAACTGTCCCTTTTTGTATGTGGGTCTGGCAGTGATTGTGGTGTTTGAGGGAGCAGTGAGCTGCATGTAAAACAACAAATTGTTTTGTTGTCTGGTAGAGCAGAAAATGTGTCTTTTTGTGATTAAGCAGTGATTTAATAATTGGAGGACTATTAATTGGATGTTCACAATATCATTGTTGAACTTGTTAATCTAGGTTCTTCAAACTTCAATTGTTTTTTTTTCAGCTCTATGAAAACTTAATTAATTAAAGAACAATTTCATTTGAAAATCTATTATTATGTTATAAAAAAACGCCCGGATGATATTCAGAATTATCTTGTAGATAGAGTTGACGCCTTTAGCTTGCATAACAATGCAGCATAGGATGATGCCAACTGATGGGACTGCATGTACAACAAGTGGTATTGTGGGCAGATTGTGTGCTGATTGGTTGCCACTCCTTTGGGGGTTTCTTCTTCCAATCTGTGGACCACTTCACTGCAAAAAGATGTATTCATCATCATTCCACAAACATCCACCTATTAATCTCAACCTACACCTTGTTGGAGGCCAACTGCTGCCCTGCATAACAATGAGTTTAAATCATATGATGTCAGAAATGTTTGTGAAGTTACAGATAATTTGAAGTTATTACAATTTGGGTCTTTCATAGTTTTGGTCACTGCTGTTCTGGACTCTTAAGCCCTCCTTGGAAGGTATTAACATAGAAATGGACATTTAACAGAACAAAGCCAAAAGAGAAAGCCAAAAGCCTCCACTGGTGTGTGGGGGAGAGTTTAAGAGGAGGTGCATAGATTCATTATTCAGAGTGGGTTACACTTCCCGAGGATATCATTATCGTCAATGTCCAATACAAATAAACACCCGTAGATCCAAAGATGCTTCAGAACTTCATTGTCAAAGTAATCCAGTCATAGTTGCCTGTACATCCATGGGTACACTGCAAACATGAAATAGCTAATTCTGTATGCTTTTGCGTCATCTCGTTCTATAACTTTTTTCTCATCTTTTTTTGTCATTATTGTGGTTCCAAAATAGGCCTGTGTGTTGGTGTAAGCATTTTTCAAGATAAGCAGAATTTTTTTGACCTCCTCCATTTTCACATTTTCATAAAAATCTAACTTCACACTGAGCTGATAATAAAATAAACAAAAGCAGCTGTTCCCCCATGGAAAAAAGATGAGAAAAAACTCAGATATTTGCTTTAAAACACAAGGACGTTGCTCTGGACAGGATTTAAATTACAGGAGGACCAGCGAGTTCACAGGAAAACAGTAGGTAACTGCTGTAATTATCAGTGGGGTAGGGGTGAAAAATGACCTACATAGGCGCTCCAGACAGGAATAAAATCACTGACCAGCACAGGTAATGTTAAAATCACCCCACCTCCCCAAGAGAAATAAATCCTTTTACTGGTCTACAGTACAGCCACTCTAGCAGCTCTGTGAGACTGTACTTGAGCACAGTGATACTAACTACTAACATTACCATGCTAACATGATGTGTGGCAGGTAATGTTTACTCTTTCAGTTTAGCCAGAGACAAAGGACTTTGGTTTAGCGTGTTAGCATGCTAAAATTTGCAAATTAGCACCAAACACAAAGTACAGCTGTGGCTGCTGAGTATGTCATTAGTATGTCCAGGTCTTTTGTCATAAGCCAAAATACTGAAAAAATTAAAGGTATGACCTG